TTCCCGAAGATTTTATTTTCATATTCAAAGTGGTAGTAATTATATACTATTTTTTCTTTTATAATCTTAATTTTTAAATGATATTGATCTCCACTATTCTTACAAAAATTAAGCACATATATTAATATGCGTTACTATCATGGTAGTCAACTTAAGTTTTCTCAAATATAACGTATTTGTTTGCTTAAAATTGAAGCCTTAATTCCATTTTAATACCACAGGGAAAAATGATAATGGAAGGGATTAAAAGTTGGCAGGTATGGCCTTCAAACTCTTCCGGATTTTCCGGAAGATTTTATTTTCATATTTATAGTGGTAGTAAATAGATACAATTTTTTCTTTTATAAATTTAATTTTTAAATGATTTTGATCACCACTATTCTTACAAAAATTAAGCACATATATAAATATGCGTTACTGTCATGGTTATCAACTTAAGTTTTCTCAAATACAACGTATTTGTTTGCTTAATATTGAAGTTTTAATTCCATTTTAATACCAATGGGAAAAATTATAATGGAAAGGATTAAAAGTTGGCAGGTATGCTATAGTCACGACGAGTCGTCTTAGAGCATGCCCTTATTGGCTATCGTTTTTCCTGGGAATACAATGCATTTTCTACTTCGGTAAAGCTGCTAAAGAAGGCATCAATACACTTTCCTATAAGAAGGCATCAATACACTTTCCTATAAGAAGACATCTTGGAATTGATTAACGCAGCACGCTTTTCGGTTCGTAATCTGCACTCTACATGCTATTGAACGTATAAGTGGTTTCTCTTTGAGTTGTATGTCGGACGACAGAGATCGCACAGTGCACATCGAACATGAGTTGTATGTTAAAAACTTCGGTAGTAGTACCATGTACCACCTGTCTTTGTGCGACATTACGACAAATAATTTTAAAATAAGATCAATCATTTAGGCAAATCCTGTAATGCAGAATCAATGACTTAAATTAATGACAAATAAATAAATCAGGGAATACTACTTGAGAAAACTTCATTCGCTTCAAAAATGTAAAAAATGAAAATAACAGTCGACATGTTTCAATCGCTCAAAAATTGATGCCCATTTTCAAAACTTGCCAGTCGTGAACGAGAAGAAACAAATGTTGATTTGAAATTTGCTTAGTTTCTCACTTTTACTTCTTCTATTTTTTGTTGGCAACTTTTCGCTTCATATTTCAAATAACTTTTGTTTCTTCTCATTCACGTCCTGGCAAGTCTTGAAAACTTTCGCCTATTTTTGAGCGCTTGAAACATGTCGACGGTTATTTCCATTTTCTGTATTTTTGATGCGAGTGAAGTGTTTAGTCAAGTGGTATCTTACAGCTGCAGTTTTTGGGATTATTTATTTAAATTGGGGTATACTTAATAATAGTCCGCTTATCAGACATATGTAGAACTTAGTGGATGAAACAGGTAGGTGATAGTTTAAGGGGTATTTATTCATCAAAGAAAATAACATAACAAAGTGGTCGCTTCAATATGGGTATGTTAAATGAAAGAGAATTGTTTTTACTTTCATTTTAATTTTTACATAACTAAAACACATTAGTTCAATAGTTTTAAGTATGTCACATAATTTTTATTTCAATTTAGGCAGTGGTAAATAAAATAAGGCAAAGAAGTATTAAATCTTCTTAAGTCAGAATTATTGAATCTTATAAAGTCTTCTAATAAATCTGTAATAAACTAGCTCTAATACCACTTTTTTTCCGCTTACCCTGATTATAGCGAAACTGGAACTGTTACTTGACTGGGGTTCATCAACTTAGTTTTTTTTTCTCAGGCTTTGTTAATCTAAAGATTTTTGATGTATAATCTAGTTAAAAAATTATTGAGAGTAGTAATTGTTGTTTTTTCCATTGAGGAAACTTTGTTACTATTTTATGTTACCGAATTTAGTAACATATTTAACTTGTTATTCAGATCAAAGTATGAGCAGCTTTTTCTTTTTTTCTCCGCACCATTTTATATTAAGTTTTTGTCATTATTTTTTTCAGCAATATATTAAGAATAAGGACATTAATTAATATATTAGTAAGAGCATAAAAATAGATATTTAACTGTTTGAACATTTTTACCAATTATAATTTTATTACCGTCGTTGAAAAGTTTTCCCTATTTCGGGCTTACGACTACTAATATTCAACTCCGTAGCCTTGTAATTTTGAACCTAATCCAGAAGACTAGGGAACTTTTCGATCAAGTTTTAGGAGAAATTTGCCTTCGTGGAAGATTTTTTGATGGGACTAACCTGCATTTGGCGTTACATAGAGTAGAAAAACACGGAGGAGGAAAACCACGAAAATCTCCCCCTGCTAGCTTGAGGGCGAGGGGACTCTAACCCATGATCCGTTTACCACTGAGGATATTTTACGTCAGCACTGCTATACGATAGAGATGCGGAATTCATATCGACCTGTCATCGCTGGGATTTGAACCTGGTTCACCTCATCCGAGGGCGAACGCTCTTTACCCTGAGCCACCACTGCTCTTTACTAATTATATCACATAATTAGTAATGTAGCAAATTATCACAACTCTAAATTAAAAAAAAATTCTGCACCTTAAACTTTTAAAATTATTCAGAGCTCTCGCCTGTTAACTCCCAATATTTAAAATGCTCGTGAAATAAAATTTCGCAGAATGTGTTAAATCTCGCTGAATATCACTGAATATATAAATTAAGAGACATATATGTCCCACCAGTCATTCCAAGTAGATTGTAGGGCTGAAAAGATCGCATTTTAACATTAGATTACTCATTGTAAACTTCTCTTCTTTTATTTGGAAGGTTGATGGCACTTGTACAGCTGTCATGGTGGCATTAGCTTCAAAAAAAATCACATGCTTGTGAAGATTTATGCATCGTTTGGTGAGGAAAATAATTGAAATAGGGGAAAACAGTGCGAGTCATAATATTAGTGTTATTTATATCCTATGTTATTTTGAATCATAATTTGCTTGATTTTGAAAGTTTATCGTATAAAATGAATAAAAACAAAATTATTACTACGACTTGGGATGTATATTTCCCAGTTGTCTTTTTTCATGGGTCATTAGTCACTCGAAAAGGCTTAAGGTTTTAATCTCAGGGCTTAACTGCAAAAAGTGGAAGCAAATTTAAAGAAAAAAATACTTATGCAATCAAAAGAAAATCTTTCTTGATGAAAAAAAAATAGAATGCAGTCTTAAAAGGGTTAAAAAATCGTAAGTGCCATTGCCGCTGTTCTGGGTAATCAACTTTATATTACATTTTGTTTTGCTACGCAAGATCTATAACACTTGGAAATTTTAAATAACGAATGCTCAGGATGTATGATGGAATAAAAAAAATTAACATTTTACTATTATTAAGGGAATTACGGTTAAACTTGTTGTAAAATATAACATGGGGGGTCACGAGTTTTTTTAATGTTAAATTCTAATTTGTAATTATTAGAGAAGTTCTAATTTTCTTTTTTCATTTTATCTACGTTACAATTGTTTTACTACGTATTAACCCTGAAACAAAGAAACTTGAAATTACAATGATACGTTGAGAAATGTATAAAGAGTACTGTGAAATAAAAAACTAAGACTCGATTATTGGTTCGAGAAATATCAATTATTAAATTTGTCGAGAAAATTGTAATGCGAGTCCAGCTACTGCTCTACTACCCGCTACAATGCAACACAACTACGATTTGAAAGTTAAGTGCTGAAAGAGCCACTTTAATTTATGAGCTTAATTCAATTTTTTTTCTTTTTAAATTCCACTTTGCTCGAAAGTTAATATTAAGTGATTTTTTAGCTTATTTTTTTCACTTGTTTTCCACCAACAATGATTATTTATCCATTGTTGTAAGAAATTTTTTTACCCTCTCAAGATTTCCATTTTATAAGCTTGCACTTGACTTAGTGTTAAAAGTAACAGAAATAAATGAATAAATATATTTAAAAAATAAGAGAAATGTAAACTAAGTGCTGAGAGATATAAATCTTAATATTTATAAAAAAAATTTTTTTAAATTATGAAAGACTCAAGAGCGAGAAAACTTTCCAATTTGAACAGTTAATGATAATTATGCATATTACATATAACAGTATATAATGCATATAACAGTAATTATGCATATTGGTGACAACCAAAATTATTTCTCATGTATACTTTTTATTGTGTCCCACATATTGTAATCCTCAGTTTACTTTTTATCAAGTACAGTTATTATTTTTTTNTTTAAATGATATTGATCTCCACTAAACTTGAAAAATGCATAGTCAGTCAAAATATTAACTCAACATGCGTTTATTAAATATATCTTTAGGAAAAAGTTTTTTTTTTCAAATTATCTTTTTAATTTGAAAACCACATTTAAAAAAAAGATGCTTTAACTTTACAAAAATGTCATACAGCTTGATTTATTTTTGTAATTTTTATGCCTAACAGATAAACTTTTGACTGTTACCGGTGGAAAACTTTGATTAATAATTTCATTTTGTTTTCCTTGGAAAATAAAATTTAGAGCATTTTAACAATTTTCTAAAGTTCTAAAAATTAGTACAAAAATGGCAATCAAGGTCGTCTGCGTAGAGCAGACATCTAATCCCAGGAATCATTTTGAGTTGGTGGACAAGATCATTAGTGTAGATATTGAAGCCGGTGCAACTGGGTACTGAATCCTGAGGTAATCCAGTTCTTAGAACACCGTATTTGAAAAATCTCCTACAGTATCTGACCCTACATATACGTTGGCAGAGAAAACCACGAAACCAACTAAACAAGTTCTTAATACCAAGATTAGCAAGTTTCAGCAAGAGTTTATCAATTCATACTGTGTCATAAGCAGACTTGAGGTCAATGAAAATCGCTGAAAGTATTTGACCTTTATCCAGGGCATCTTTGATAGCCTGGTTGAGGAATGCTACTTGTTGATTGGTAGATCTGAATTGTCTAAATCCAGCTTGTTCTTCTGCAAGGAAACTATTGGTTTCAAGAAACCAACTAAATTTTTTAGATACGATTCTTTCCGTAGTTTTTCTCATAATACTGGTAAGTGAGATAGGTCAAATTTTTTGGACTTTTATCTTTTTTATGAATTGGTATAACTATGGCTCTTCGCCACTGAGAGGGAACAATTCCGGAGTCCCAAATTATAATGAAGAACTCCAAAAGAGTGTTTAACGCACAAATGCCCAGATGTTGAAGAAATTCAGAATGTATGCCATTTTCACCCGGGGATTTTCCACTTTTCAGGCAATTTATAGCCTGAGTAAGCTCTTCCACAGAGAGAAATGAATTAAAAATGGGATGCGCAGATGGCCGTGCATCAAAGTCAGTAAGAAGGGATTTTAATTTGCGTTTTAGAAACCTTGACGTTACTCTAGAGTGGGTATTCTTTTGATGAGTGTTCGTAAAGTGTTTGACGAATGCATTGGCAATTTCTGTATCTGTAGTGATAGTTTTATTAGCAACTTGGAAAGGCTGCGTAGGAGCTCGTCTACCTCCATTTTTGATATTAGAAAGGAATTTAAAAACTTTCTTCCCATCTCTCTGATCATTGGCGCCAGCTATGAAGTCGTTAAAGGGTTTTCGTTTCTCAACGAGCACAGTTTTTCTAAACAACGCAGATTGCCTTCTCCAGGCCTGAGTATCTGAAAGTCTGTGTGCTAGTTCGGCTTTTTTTCCTAGTCTATTGCGCTTGGTTTTCATATATTGGAGCTCTTCCGACCAGAAGCAACGATATTTCATCACTCTTACCCTGGGTATGCACTTTTTTGCACAAAACAGTATCCTGTCATTGATATGTTCACAAATTCTACTTGGATGCAGGGTGAAATCAATAGAGTTGGGGTGGATTTCTTGTTCCAGCATAGCGATAAATACACTCCAATTTGCTTTCTTGAAATTCCATGAAGTTCTAGAGAGTGACGCTGGCTGTCTACATTGAGAGCCAAAAGAGATATCTGCGATGACTTGACGATGACCAGAACCCGGATCGCCAATGACAAAACGTCTTGTGTTTTCACCAATATCTGAGGTGACCAAAAGGAGATCAGGGGCGGTGCACGTTCCCCTTATAATGTAGGAAAGTATGTGGATCGCTGTGGTTATAAATTAGCTCGAAAGTAGTGGAGTTCAAAAGATCTTCTACGCTTTTTCCCGCTTCTTTAGTGTCTTTATAGCCCCATAATGGTGAATGGGCATTAAAATCTCCCAGAAAAACTGTAAGACTCAAAGAGTTTAGGTAAAAGAAATCGGGTTTGTTATTAGGTGGGCTGTAAATAGCGAGGATTTTAAAACGTTTTCCGACATTCCATACATTTAGCTCAATGACTTCGTTTTTATCAGGGGAGTTCTCCATATCTTTAATAATACGGTAATCAGCAGTTAGATCAGATTTGACACCTACCAGATACCACTCGCCACTTGTCTAGATTTAGGAAGTATGTAGAAGAAGTATCCCTTAAATGAGAAATTCCCTAGTTTATCGTAAGTGAGGTTTACCTCCATAATCGTGAAGACATCAATATCATGCATTTTTAGCGTCTGCACGAGCTCCGCTCTCTTGGGCTGCGATAGACTACCCGCAACCCGCATTCCACTGCAACACACGCAAGGAATCTCTTGAAATCATGATATACAAGGGACTAGCCAAAGTTGTGGATCATTTGGGCATTTTACGTCAGCACTGTGGACTATGCGATAGAAGTGCGGAATTCATATCGATCTGTCATCGCTGGGATTCGAACCCGGTTTTCCTCATAGGAAGGCGAACGCTATTTATCTGAGCCACAACTGCTCTTTACTAATTATATTACATAATTAGTAATGTAGCAAATTATCACAACTCTAAATTGAAAAAAAATTCTGCACCTTAAACTTTTAAAATTATTCAGAGCTCTCGCCTGCTAACTCCCAATATTTAAAATGCTCGTGAAATAAAATTTCGCAGAATGTGTTAAATCTCGCTGAATATCACTGAATTTTGTAAAGACTACTCCAAATATAAATTACGAGACATATATGTCCCACCAGTCATTCCAAGTAGATTGTAGGGCTGAAAAGATCGCATTTTAACATTCTTCTTTTATTTGGAAGGTTGGTGGCACTTGTACAGCTTTCATGGTGGCATTAGCTTTAAAAAAAATCACATGTTTGAGAAGATTTATGCATCGTTTGGCGAGGAAAATAATTGAAATAGGGGAAAACAGTGCGAGTCATAATATTAGTGTTATTTATATCCTATGTTATTTTGAATCATAATTTGCTTGATTTTGAAAGTTTATCGTATAAAAAGAATAAAAACAAAATTATTACTACGACTTGGGATGTATATTTCCCAGTTGTCTTTTTCCATGGGTCATTAGTCACTCGAAAAGGCTTAAGGTTTTAATCTCAGGGCTTAACTGCAAAAAGTGGAAGCAAATTTAAAGAAAAAAAAACTTATGCTACCAAAAGAAAATCTTTCTTGATGAAAAAAAAAATAGAATGCAGTCTTAAAAGGGTTAAAAAATCGTAAGTGCCATTGCCGCTGTTCTGGGTAATCAACTTTATATTACATTTTGTTTTGCTACGCAAGATCTATAACACTTGGAAATTTTAAATAACGAATGCTCAGGATGTATGATGGAATAAAAAAAATTAACATTTTACTATTATTAAGGGAATCACTGTTAAACTTGTTGTAAAATATAACATGGGGGGTCACGAGTTTTTTTTTATGTTAAATTCTAATTTGTAATTATTAGAGAAGTTCTAATTTTCTTTTTTCATTTTATCTACGTTACAATTGTTTTACTGCGTATTAACCCTGAAACAAAGAAACTTGAAATTACAATGATACGTTGAGAAATGTATAAAGAGTACTGTGAAATAAAAAAATAAGACTCGATTATTGGTTCGAGAAATATCAATTATTAAATTTGTCGAGAAAATTGTAATGCGAGTCCAGCTACTGCTCTACTACCCGCTACAATGCAACACAACTACGATTTGAAAGTTAAGTGCTGAAAGAGCCACTTTAATTTATGAGCTTAATTCAATTTTTTTTCTTTTTAAATTCCACTTTCCTCGAAAGTTAATATTAAGTGATTTTTTAGCTTATTTTTTTCACTTGTTTTTCACCAACAATGATTATTTATCCATTGTTGTAAGAAATTTTCTTACCCTCTCAAGATTTCCATTTTATAAGCTTGCACTTGACTTAGTGTTAAAAGTAACAGAAATAAATGAATAAATATATTTAAAAAATAAGAGAAATGTAAACTAAGTGCTGAGAGATATAAATCTTAATATTTATAAAAAAAATTTTTTTAAATTATGAAAGACTCAAGAGCGAGAAAACTTTCCAATTTGAACAGTTAATGATAATTATGCATATTACATATAACAGTATATAATGCATATAACAGTAATTATGCATATTGGTGACAACCAAAATTATTTCTCATGTATACTTTTTATTGTGTCCCACATATTGTAATCCTCAGTTTACTTTTTATCAAGTACAGTTATTATTTTTTTAAATCCGTGTGATTCATCTTAAAATTAAATTATACTTCATTAACTTTAAATATGTTCATCTTTAAATCAAATTTATTATCAGAATAATAAAATATTAAAGGTTAAATAAGCTACAATTTTCTTAATATTTTAATTTGCGTCTACCCTGGAAATTGCCAAACTGGCTTTTAGAAAAATGAATTATCAGAGTATTATGCATTTTTTATTTAAATAATGTACTAGTTTTCACTAATTACTTAGAAAAATTCGAGTGTAAAAGGTTAAAATGCGAAAAGATTAACGTAATTCATGTTTCAGCATTCCATAAATTATTAATATGCATAAATTTCCCCTAACTCTATATAAAATGAAAACCAACCATTTATTACCAGATTAATCAAATATTAAAACTTAAACAAGTTACCATTTTACTTGAGATTTAAATTTGCATCTATCCGAGAAATTGCTAAAATGATATAAAGAGAAAAGAATTAACAAAGCATTATGCATTTTTAATTCAAATAATGCACTCATTTTCACAGCAGTTACTTAGAACAATTCGAGTAGAAAAGGTTAAAATAAGAAAAGATTCACGTTTATATTTCAGCATTCCATAAATAATTAATGCACAAAAATTTTCTCTAACTCTATATAAAATAAAAATCAAACATTTAAGCCCGCTTCGTTATTCTTGTTACGTAGAAATTATTGTTGCCAGCATTAAATTCAATGTTTTGAAATTTTAAACATTATCCGAGAGATTCATTTTCTTAAGGAATAAAATAAATTCCCATTTGGCCAAGAAAATAGATTTATATTCCAAAACATTTCCTTTAAAAGCGCATTTAAGCAAGCTAAGAGAGGAATTCCAATTTCATTTTCTAAGGGATGTATAAACATTTCTTCTGAATTTTCCTTTCCATTCATCGAAATGCTAGGAAAAGTCAGACATAAAACAACATACAAATCCTCTTTTTTTCTTTCAAGATATTAAATCCATAACTTAATATTTTATTGAAATACGGAATAATACGAGTACGAGAATGAAATTTTAAAATGAAAAACATTTCACATTGAAACACTAAATACCATTAAGTTGATGTTTTATAGTGTTTTGAAATAGTGGTCTGCATCTCTTCAAACCATTATCATAACTTTTAATATAATCTGCAGAATTCCCTGAGACATAGCGATGTCGCCCGCTGAGAAATGTTTGACAATTCGGGTGCCCGTTGCTATGACGACGGCGATGGGAATTTGGCGCAAAACTCTCCTTTTGGTAACCCCGAGATCAAATACTATTGGTTCAGGGAGATAGCAGACGAGAAAAGTGTTTTACTCTGGGATTGTATCTAGCTAATAGAAGAATTCTGTGGTGTTTAGATCTGTGGTGCAAAGAAATTGGCACAACAACGTGGACAAAATAAAGGTAAGCTGTTTTAAAAAAAATAGTTTTGAATGTTTAAACAAATGTATTAATTTATGCATTATTTTTTAAGACTATTTTGGGAGATATATGCAGGAAAATTATTCTTGAATCTATTTTATTCAATGTATTCGAATTTTTTTTTTTCTTTTTGTCTTCGCATTGATAAGAAATTTTTTTAATTTTATTTTTTCTATCGCAAATTACATTAACTGCCAATATTTGTTCAGACATAAGCTGTGTATTTTTTTTTCTTTTTTCATAACTGAATTGAGTATTATGCAAGAAATTTTAAAATTATAATTAGAATTCTGAATATTTTCTGAAATGATTTTAAAAAAAAACGCAAAACATTTTTCAGAAAATGGTATGAATATTTTTTTAATCATTACGATCAATATTTTTAAAAATGTAAAATATATTTATGATCTAGTACTCTATAATAATTTTCTATAATTTGATAGTATATTTTCTGATAACTGCTTACAATCAAATTATTTCTCTGTAATCTAAACTTATTATTAGCATTCAATGCTATTATTATTATTAGTATATTCTATAATAATTATAGCATCTCCATCTGTATCATAATAGCTATAAGTATTATTAGTATTTAGCTTAATATTAGTATACACTTTAAGTAATTTTAAATTAAGTATTGCTTATTTATTAAGATTTTAATTTTATTCTTGTATTCAGATTCGAGTTTTAAACGAAAATAAAACTTTAATAAAAATAATATTGTTTAAAATTAGAAGGTTGCGTAACATTTTACTTAAGCAAAATGTCTTTTTTATAATAAATTAAAAAAAGGTAAACAATACTTTTTGCAACCTTCTTTATTATTTAACTTTCTCAAAAAATCCTAAGTAAATAAAGCTATAAATATTTTTATATACTATATAAAACGACGATGTCTGGAAAAAAAATTCTAAGAGATGTCAAATATGTTTTTCTTCTTTTTCTACGAACAAATTAGTTGAAGCTCTTAATAATAATTTAACTCACAAAAGACGTATTAAAAACCCATTTAAGGAAAATAGTGCGTTATTCTATGCAATAAAATTTCCTTAAGCTAAATCTAAATCATCAATTATTTAGTATTTAATAATGCATGAAAAATCAAACTGTTAATCGAAAATAATAGTTAGAATAATGCTTAACCATATCAACTTTTTCAAAAAATCATAAGTAAGTAAAATTATAAATATTTTTACATATATATCATATAAAACAACAATATTTGAAAAAAAATTCCAAAAGATGTCATATATTTTTTCCTTCTTTTTGTACAAACAAATTACTAGAAGCACTTAATAATAATTAACACACAAAAGCCGTATTAAAAACCCATTTAAGGGAAATAGGGCATTCTTTCATGTAAAAAAAATTTCATCAAGCGAAATCTAAGTCATTAATTATTTAGTATTTTATAATGTTTAATGTTAATAGAAAATAATAGTTCGAATAATGCTTAACTATTTCAACTGATATTTGCAAAAAAAATACATTCTGCATAAAACGTATTTTTTTCTTTCACATAAAGTACACGAGAACGGAAAAGTACTAATTTAAAAACTGTAATGATTTTTTAACAAGGATTCATTTAAATTTTCTTAGAAAAGCAAGTACTTATTTATTTAAAAAATACATCTAATTCCTTTTAAGAACAACGAAAAAAAAGCTTTGTATACATCGATGTTCAATACTGTTTTAACTATTTAACAACAAATTAATATATGGTGACAGAATAAGCAAAATATGATAACAGCGTTTGGGAACTAATGCCACTATAGGTAATTTAATATTATTCATAAGAAATGTAATAGTAATGCAGTAAAAACAACAATTCATTAAAAGTACTATTTATTGCCCGTATTAATTAAAATTTTATTATATAGTTTAAGAAATCCATTGAAAATTTGCAATATAATTGAAATAAAATATTGTTTAAAATTTGTATAACAATAAAACGATAATATTTTTCGAAGTCGATACAATAATAAAAAAAACATTTATTTTTAACTTACTTAATGATTTAAATAAAATCCTTATGTGACATTTGCAAAATTATTAAATGAGAAGTTTATTCAAAATTTCCATGAAAATTAAAAACAAACAAGCATTTATTTAAAATTTGACGAATTATTAAAACGAAATTTGGAATTGAAAGTTTATAAATCTTTAAATAAAATATTTATTTGAAATTAGTTTGATAATTAAAACGAAGTATTAAATTTTCGAACCTTTCATCATACATCACAACTTTTGATACGATTACTGTATAGTAATTACAACTTTAATGACTATTGCAATCATAACTCTAATATTTTTCATATCAATTTAAGCAGTTAAAATGCATTTAAAAAACACAATCAAACACTAATAAATACAAAGCTTAATTAACTATTATTTTGATTCGTATTTAGCATAATGAGGAGTAAAATCAGATAAAAAAGTAAAATCAGCAATTAAGATCAACCTTTTGTTTGCTTACAGTGCTTACTTTGTTGACAACAGATAGTTTTTACGATAATTAAAATAAAGCATTTATTTTTCGAGAATTTTGTTATTCATTGCAATCATAACTAAATAGTATTTTCATAATTATTTAAGTAGTTTAAATGCATTTAAAAACATAAATACTAAAAAATATAAAGTTTTTAAGCTATTATTTTGGCTTTTATACTGTAACATGCTGTGTTCAGTAAGCTGAGTTAAACCAACAATTAAAAGAGACCCTTTGTTGGCCTAAAGGATGAGAGGCATCAACAAATAGTCTTAAATTTTGACTGATAACTAAAAATAAAGCATTTATTTTTTGAGACTTTTACAATTCATTACATGCAACTTTCATAACTATTAAAATCATAACTTTAATATTTTTCATAACTATTCAAGAAGTTGAAATCCTTTTAAAAACACAATCGAATACTACAAAATACAAAGTTTATCAATCTATTATTTTGATCCTTTTTCAATATTTTCATGATGTGTAACAATAAGTTAGCTTTCTAAGTGAAGCCAACAATTAAAAAGAACCCTTTGTTTGCCTATAAGATCAAAAGCGTGAACAAATAGTTTCAAAATTTGTATGATAACTAAAATAAAGCATTTATTTCCCTAGACTTTTATTATTCATTACATGCAACCTTCATAATGTTTGAAATCATAACTGTAATATTTTTCATAACTATTCAAGAAGTTAAAATCCTTTTAAAAACACAATCGAATACTACAAAATACAAAGTTTATCAATCTATTATTTTGATTCCTTTTCAATATCATCATGATGTGTAACAATAAGTTAGCTTTCTAAGTGAAACCAACAATTAAAAAGTACCCTTTGTTTGCCTATAAGATCAAAAGCGTGAACAAATAGTTTCAAAATTTGTATGATAACTAAAATAAAGCATTTATTTCCCTAGACTTTTATTATTCATTACATGTAACCTTCATAACGTTTGAAATCATAACTCTAATATTTTTCATAACTATTCAAGAAGTTAAAATGCTTTTAAAAACATAATCAAATTCTATAAAATACAAAGTTTATCAATCGATTATTTTGATTCTTACTCAATATCATCACACTGTGTAACAATAAGTTGTCTTTCTGAGTGAAGCTAACAATTAAAAAGAACCCTTTGTTTGCCTATAGGATCAGAAGCTTGAACAAATAGTTTTCGATTTCGCAATGATGGGCTTTTAAGAGAAAAGATATTTATCTAAGAGATATAACTCTTTTTTTTATGTTCACTGACATCACAGAAATTAACATTGCCGACCCCAGAGCGGCGAAAGATATAAACGCTGTTAATAATGTTTTCCTGCTATCGTACTTATTCTTCGGAAAAGAAAACTTTCCTCTCTCTGTGATAAAACATTTCTGAGATTTTGCACGAAATTAATTTTAGTTTTCTATTTATGTTTTAAAATATCTCGTTTTTGTTTCGGTGATACTTAAGAATATTTGGTGATATTATGTAAATGGATCCTGTAGAATATTTGATGATATTGAATTCTGTGGTACATTTGATGATATAGTGCATAAGGAGTTCTTTAGAATATTTGGCTATTTCGTGCATATAGAATCCTGCAGAATGTTTGGTGATATTGAATATACGGAATTCCTGCAGAATATATCGTACTTTTGTGAATACGGATTCCCGTTGAAAAGTTCATGTAGTGTGCATGGAATCAGAGAGTGTATTTGGTGATATTTTGAAAACTCCAGTGGAATATTTGGTGATGTTGTGCTTATGAAATCTAGAATATTTAAAGATGTGGTGTATACTGAGAAAGCATGGTGATACTGTGCAGATGAAACCCTGCAGAATATTTCGTGATATTATGCCTTCTGAATCCTCTGGAGTATTTGGTGATATTATTCGAGTGAAATTCTGTCCAATGTTTAATCACGTATAGATGGAGATCTGCAGAATATATGGTGATAGTGTGCAAATGAATCCCGATTATATTGTGTTTATAGAATCCAAATGAGTATTTGGTGAAAATAAATATAGAATCATTTAGAAGTTATGTTCGCACGGAGTGTTGCAAAATTTTTGCAGGTATTGTACATATGTTGAATATTTTGGCATTTATTTAGTATATTTTTCTTTTCAATTTTTGGAAGCACTTGATTGTAACATTTAGATCCAATTGTAGCATAACCGTTTCGAAATTAGATTGACTATATTATCAGAAAATCAAAATTGATTATAATTTTGAATAAATTTATTAGAATTTAAAAAGTGATCTGGGTGTTTCATAGCAAAAACTCTGAATAGCTCTAAATTACAGTTTAACCAAAACAAAACAAAAAACACAACTTTGAAATAAATAAAAAATAAATAAAAATTGGTGGTCGATGAACCAATTTGCTGCTGGTTACAATGTGGCTAACATTAATGTTTTAGCTTGTCCCTGTCATAATATTTAAACTAAGGTGATTGAGGTAAATTAACATAAACTTATTTTTTCCCTTTTCTAACTTCTTC